TTCAGTGGAATATCATTAAGGTTGAAGCAAAGTGATTAGTCGTACTTGATTTACAAAGCCACAAAATTTTAAGTGTGTGCCATCAAATTTTTTTGGAAGGCTAATCCTTAGTTCTTTTGCTATTATTATTATCAAATCATTGCCTTGAGTAGATGAACCTTCCATATTTGTTAAAGCAGATATAGTTGTTTGAGAATTTGGGACCTCTATTGCTATTTGATGTGGTATTTGAGGCACTTTTGCTTCTTGACTATTATGTATGGTCATATATAGTTCTTCATTCTACTTCGAAAAAGTCTCTATCCTAATCTTCAATGCTTCAAAAGCATTAATAATAGAATCTAACTTGATCTTTTTAGAATTTGTCATATTGACTTTTTTACCTTCTATCATAGAAAATCAGAGAAATACATGCATTCAAAGAAAATAAATAAATAAATAAATAATTGAGTTATAGTATAAAGAAAAAAATCAAAAGAGTATTAAGAAAAGAACAATATTAGTGTAGGAAAGGATAATTTGCAACCTCTAGAATGCTATAGTACTTCCAAGAAGAGGGATAATCCACTCTCTGTCAAGAAAGACCAAGCTTCTAATATTATTTTATGGTAGTCGTGACAAATTCTTAAGAACCTTATACAAGACAAGGATTTAAGACCAAAAAATGGAATTAACTTGATATTAGAATAATAACTAAATATAAAGCAAAAAGGTCATAGCTAAATCACAAGAAGTAAATTGTTGAAACTCAGGATCCCCTTAGCCTCAATTCCTATATATACTAGGTCCTGAGAAGCTTCTTGACAAGTTTCCATGAGGCTTGGGAACAAAGCAAATCTAAGATCCTTCTTCAAAAACTTCCTAAATCATCTAAAGTCCCCTAAAACCTTCTAAGATCTCCTATGATCTTCTAAAACTTTCTTAGAATCTATTGGAACCTTTTAGAATCTTCTAAGATCTACAAGACCCTCTTAGAACCTTTTAAAATCTCTTAGAACCTTCTCAAATCTTCTTCAGTTGTATATCTGTGACATAATCTTTAAGTCTTCTAACACTATGCCAAATTCACCTTGTTCCAATAAATAGAACTTCAAGTATCATAGAAATCCTATCTGACCTTAAACTAGCAACTTCTGATACCTTCTTGTATCAAAAACTAAATATCTTTCAACCATATTATTAGATTAATACAAAATTTTATACACACTTAATACATCCAATTAAACAAGTATTTTTAAATTTTGAATTATAGATGTAACACGAATTGTACAAACTAACCGAGAGTACTAGCTCGAATTATATTGCACAAATTCAAAGTCACCAATACAAACCATAACTTTGAACTACAATTGCAAAGTCATTCAAGATCCTATAAAAGCAAGCTTTATGCTTTTGAAACAAATTCAAAGCTAACTCTCAATTCTTACTTGATGATCTCTAAATGTTCTTATATTTTGTCTTAGGCAACTATTTTAGTAGCTAGAGGTCTGGTTTTGATCCTATTCTACACATGGTTGTCCTTCGGGTATCAATCCAACCTATTCTAGGGATTTTTAGCTTGAATCTATCCTCATCTCAATCCTAGTATCAATCATATTAATTATTTATCTCTTCTATATTATTTTTATTAATTTATAATCTTTTATGGAAATATAAGAATTTCTTTAGCCTAGAAGTTAAAATTACTAATCAACCTTTAATTTACTAACTATCAAAATAAAAAAATAAATTAAGAAGCTTTTATAAAAGCCATGTTTAAATATCTTGAATTATTATTGAACTAAGATGATTAGATATTAATTAAAAAATAATTTTTGATTATATTTTTACCATATAGTTGTGTTACAACACAACACTGTAGATGCATTTCATTTTTTTCATATAATTTTGTATAGAATAAAATCAATATCACAAAAATATTATAATTTTGAGCTACTTTTTGTAATACCAAATCATTGCATTGCACTATCTAATCCACAATGCAATAAAAAATAATAACATTTAAGTACAAATTAATACTATATCATAACTTCAATGTTGCAAGAGCTTCCATGACTTGTATTATATTACAACCCTGCTATGACCCTCCAAAGCTACCATAAGAGCTGAACCAATAACCTATCACCACATTCTAGTACTGCAATTTAGCTTTGCAATTTTGCACTTCCTAACATCAATGTGTAATTGCCAATGCTATGATTTTGTACTCCACTTACTTAGTACTATACCATAGTATCTAATATTATCTCAATATAATACTATTCCAATACATTATGATTTCAATTTTGTAATAGCACCTCAATACTCTAATAGTACAATGTAATAGTAAAATACAAAACAAGAATATTTAAAAAATAATAAAAGAAAGAATTTATTTATTTATTTATTTATTTATTTATTTATTCCTTTTTTAATTTTCTATACTAAAAATTAAAGAAAAAGAGACATTCTTTTCAAGTAAAAGATTAAAAATCTATACAAAACTCACTTAAGATATTTTTTACACCATAAAAGAGGAATCGAAGAATGCAAGTGTGAAAATAGAAAAACCCTAAAACTTTAATAAAATGGCTACATCTCCATAGCCAAGTAAATCCTTGCAAGAAGTCCTCTCTCTTTCAAAATCACTTACAATGCTTGACTTGATAAGAATGTCAAGTCAAGGATTTCTTTTCTACATAAGTATCCAAATCCTAGTAGACATTAACAAAATCAAGTAGCAAAAAAATTTCAATGGATAAAAAACTACTAGCCAAAGAAAACTATATACATTCAAGAAGATTTGGCACCCAATGCCATATCATGTGACATTCTAGGAAAATTACTTATTTTTTTTAGATCCTCTTAAAGTCATTAGTTGATTTTATAAATTATGTTACTTAGAATATCAAATTTTCTTCAAGTACTTTATAATTACTTTATGTTTAATTTGATGTATAGATTATTATATATAAAATAATAATATCTTTAATTGTCTTTGATATTATTGATCCATGACATGATACGGTAAAGATTCTAAAAATTATTATCTATATATATTATTTATTTATTTATTTATTTGATAAATTTAAAAATACTTCTTATTTATGAAGCATAAGCTTAAATATCCTTGTATTGTAGATGAAACAATTATTATTTTTACAACTACTTTTTACACTAAAATAATATAGAATAGAACTAAGAAACATCTTAAAAATTAAATAGAATAATTCAAGTAAAAATTTATAAAAAATAAATTTTACTTGAATATGTTAATATCAAAAGAAACAATCTTTTTATTGTCATTATAGCAATCAATCTTTTGAAAAGCCATTTTTGCATATTCTACCATTTTGATGTCTGATAGGTTAATGTTTCTTTTTTCTTTTTTTTCTTTTTTTTGATTGAGAGAATGTTTTTATAAAAATAAAATATAAAATTATAATTAATAAAATTATAATTTATCTTACTATTTTACAAAAATATATAATAAATACATCAAAAATAAATCCTTGAATCTTCATTTAATTTAAAACATTCACAACAACCTACACTTTTATTTAGATCACAAAAACATATATATATATATATATATATATATATACATACATACATACATATATACATACACTTAAACAACCTATAAGAAAATTATTATTATTATTTAAAAACATCCAATTCTCCTAGAAATTATTGTACAAGGGAAGCTTTTGTGATGCATTGATAAGATTTTTCGGTGGTTTCCATGTGCATTCATTGATATCATAGCCGCTCCAATGCATTAGGTACTTCAATTTCTCCCACTTATGCCACAAATCTAGTACCTTTTCTATCTCGTATTCCTTGTGGTTCTGAATTTCAATACTAGGTGGCTGACATTGCATTCTTTCAAGAAAAGACGACTCTCGATAAGACTCCAACAAAGAAACATGAAAGATTGGGTGTACCTTCAGGGATGTTTTTAAAGACAAAGAAAGTGTATACATCAATGATGTATAAAATACTACAAACTTGGTATTCTACTGCATATGTTTGTACATTCAACTTCATGTTTGAATCCTTTCTAGCTTCACTATCTTGTAGAAGGAAGTTCATTGTTTCGACATTCCACAAAAGCTGCACAAACAGGAACTGGATGTGTGTGAGACTCTGATTGTAGTCTCAAAGACATTCTGAAATATGCCACACAGGAGGGCATTTGGATGTCAAAAGCTTGTGTAATTGTTAATGCAAATGTTGTGGAAGCTTGAAAAAAAATTCATCTAAAATCATTCACCATCTTATTTGGGCTTGAAGTTGGCAATCAAAACAGTACTTCAAAGATAGTTTACCAGCCAAATTGCAGACCAAGTATCCTTGGATTCCAAAGAGAGAGGAATGCACACTTGGACGAAAATGTTGAGAGTTTCGCATGCTCTTAGAATGAAATGAAATAACCCAGTAATCGAATCACTGTTTTGTTTCCTTATGAATCAAACGTGAACACGCAGTAATTTGATCACAAGTATTTGAGTCCACGACAGTCCCTCATGGTCGATATTTTACTGGCTGACCTTTTCTTCGTTCAACTTTTAGTTACGAGATGCATGTATACATACTTCCAGGCAGAAGTTCTGTGCATTTTCGGTGTATCGAAACTCCGTGCATCGAACTGAACATTGTCAACATGGATAATGCACTTCACCACAACCCACTATGCTTAGTCTCTAGTTGCGGGAGTTCTGCGGCTTCATACAAGAACTTCGAACATCGCAGTACAGTCCTGAAGGGCAGGAGCTCCTACAATGGGCTCAAGCTAAATCAATCTGACTTGCCTCACACCTTGGCCTCCTTATCTAATTGGAGACACCTAAACCTCCAGTGGCCTGGTGCACTTGCGAAACATTTGCGAAGGACTGTTTCTGTGCAACGTAAGACTCTCAACGTTCAGGTGAAACGAGAAGGGTCATCTACTCACAACCCATATGCTCAAGAGCGCATGAAATTCGCCCCATAGTGGGGTTTCACAATCCGCAAACTGGTGAATCTGAACGGTACAAATTATATCATATAAGGAGAATAGGCACATTTGCACTATCAATCGTTATTAGTAGTTGTACCGGACAGGCCAGAACACTGTTCTGAAAACATATATTGTGGTTTCGGACCCTGTTAGAATATTGCACTCAAGTTTCTAGTCTCATAGATATACATCACTACACAATACAAGATCGGAATCACTGTTGGATGTAGCAGGCTGTTTGTACAACCTCCTTACCACTACAGTCCAATCTTCACGTTCACAAGTGGTTAAACACTCTCATGCTGCCGATCGTAGTCAGTATTTTCGGACTTTCAGTTCCTCACTCGTAAGACCTCGCTTCCGGATGATCTTACTTGTGTAAAGAACAGTGAGGAGCTCATGTTCTAGTTAGACATTCGGGATACCCAAAAAAGGTGGTTCACAAGGCTTATCCTTGTTGAGGACACCTAGGACACCGTGTAGTACTTGAATGAGTGCAGACACATTCAAAGATACAAGGAATATCAGAAATATTGACCTAGCCAATCCACCTGTGTCATCCGGACGCGGCAATGCGGAGAATCAACTCTCTCTTTGTATCACAAAAATTCTTCCTGCATCTCCAATCTCATTCGTGTCGGCAGTCCTCCCACACAATGCATCGGCAAAGCTCCTGAACTCTTTCTGAACCACCAATCCCACCTCCTCGCACAGCTCTCTTACGTCTTCCCACCACACAGCGCGTAGTGTCCATTTGCAGACCATTTCCTCGTTCCATTTCTTGCATCCTACTTTGAAGGTTTCCGTTCCTGTGATGCCGCCGTCCTCCAAGGTTTCCACCTCTTTATCTAGTGTCTGCCATCCCAAAATCCAGACGCATATAATGATTACTCCTAACTTACGAGAATACATGGCAGCACTACAACCCTGCCGACAAATAGGAACCCAATTCAACATGAAACGCTCATAAATGGCAGCTCACCTGTTTCCAGAATCCATCATTCAAGTGCCAGATATCTAGCCCCCCGTGGTCGCCAAGACTAACTTCTTCGACAATCTCGTCTACTCCAAAGAGATTTAGCACCAGAATGCCACCCACTTTCAAGGACTCCTTCACTTCCCCCATCGCAACTAGCTGCTCTTCGTACGTTGTCAAAAGATGGAAAGATCCAGCCGAAACTATTGCAAGATCTATGTCCCGAACGCTCGCCAGAGCTCCACGTTGCCCAAGGGTGCCAAGCATCCACTCCACTTCCACATCAGGAACCTGGATCCATTCTCTTCTGGCCGCCTTAAGCATCTCCTCGCTATTATCAAGACCAATTAACTGCAATGACCTGTTTTTGTTACACGATCTGCACTTACTGGCCACTTTCGACCAGGCAGCCGCAATATCTCGAGATATTCTACCGGTGCCCGTGCAGAGATCAAGAACCTTGACATCGACATCGGTTTCTGGCGCAACATTAAGTGCCAGATTTGTGTAAAATGTACGGGATTCGAGAACTTCGAATTCTACTGGAAGGGAGGTAACCATGGCGTCATAGAAGAAAGGAAATAGGGCTGTGTTGTATGCCAGTGTAGGCGTCGCCATTTTCTGAACGTCGCCGTGGAATTCATTCTGTTTTTGAATTACAAAGATTCTTCCAGTTTCTCCTGTTTCCTTCAAGGCAGCCTTACTCCCATCCAATGCATCACGAAAGCTGTGGAACTCTTGAAGAATCACCAGACCTAATTCCTCGCAGAGTTCCCGCACATCTTCCCACCACACCGCGCGTAATGTCCACTTGCACACCATTTCCTCATTCCACATCTCGCATCCCACTTTGAAAGTTTCTGTTCCCGTGATCCCCCCATCCTCTAATGTCTCCACTTCTTTACTCAAGGTCTGCTTAGCCGAAAATCAAGATTCATATTATGACCAACCGCATGACGAAATGGACAGTGACCAAGCGCGCAACACTGGACAGACGTATCATCGCTTCGCATAAGCTTGCGACAGAGAAGACCCAAGCTGGCAAGCGTCGACTCTGTTTCGGGCAAATTCTTTATTCAAGGTCTATCGCAGACGATTTTCCACAGCGACCTTCTTGTGCAATCACGACATTCAACGCACCAGATACTCCACCCAAATCATCAAAGAATGCTTACCTGTTTCCAGAATCCGTCCTTCAAGTGCCAGACATCCTGCCCACCGTGATCGCCACTGCTGACTTCTTCAACAATCTCGTCAAGTCCAAAGAGATTCATCACCAGAAGGCCGCCCTCTTTCAGCGAGGCTTTCACTTCTCGCAACGCAATGAGCTGCTCCTCGTGCGTTCTCAGATGGTGAAACGATCCAGCTGAGATCACCGCTAAATCCACGTTGTCAACTCCCGCCAGCGCTCCTTCTTGTCCAAGCGTCCCCAGCTTCCACTCCACGTTCACCCCGGACACTTCAATCCATCCCCTCCGAGCGACCTTCAGCATTTCCTCGCTATTGTCTACCCCAATTATCCTACACTTACTCTCTTTTCCGCACTTGTCCGCCCACGCTTTAGCAATACATCGAGGAATGCTACCGGTCCCAGTGCAAAGGTCGAGGATCTTGACTGCACCACCCGGTTCCGGCACAGATTTCAGTGCCAGATTGCTGTAAAATCCATGGGACTCAGCGACTTCGAATTCAGGCGGAAGCGAATCGACCATGGAATCATAGAACGATGGAAACAGAGCTGTGCTATAAGCTAACGCTGGCGTCGCCATGTCTGGGACTTCGCCGGAAACACCTAGACGCATACCTAGTCTGTACACTAATGGCAACCTCCAGGCTCTCCGAAAGCATCAAATTGTTGCAGTGACTGATGCAAGACAAACTGCTGAGCTTGCAAGTTCGCATCTGCCCGTCTTACAGCTCCCAAATTACCTCCATCAGTCAAAAGATGAATCGGTCCTCGAAATTTAAGTGTAAGAAGCGGTCGTTGCACGTAGCTGTCAGTTGGCCCGGTTGACTCCGTCTCAGCTCTACCATGGCCGCATTCTTTTCTCTCAGATCGAGTATTCTGTGCTCGATTTCGAATACTCGGCAATCGATACTCTAGGCGTGAAACCCTGGGCGAAGTATAGATCCGAGAAGAGGTGGCAATTAGGTCGCACCCAATGCGGGTGCAAGATTGATTCGATCTTAATTGCGAGAGATTTCTTCGAATGTCTAGCACCTTACAGATCCATTGCTAAATACTTCGATGCACAGAAGATCACTGCGTAGGACATCTCGTCGTCCTCATCCAGCTCCTGCGTGTTGAAGCAACGCTCCATCCCCGTCAAAACTAACAAAATTTATAGTCGCATGATTTATCTTTCAAATTCTCGCAATCGTTATGGCTTAGTTGATCGTTCCTGCGGCATACGCATAATGTCTAAGAGGCTCGCGAGAGGGAAACAATTTTGGAATAGTTTCAACTCCAATTTCTCGACACGTTTCGCACCCATTTCGATGCCATTCCCAAAAGGAGGCAGAAATTGATTCAATCGAATCAAGACACTGCAGAGTTGGACCAATCCCAGGTGAGAGTTTCGCAACTTCGGCGCAAGTACTTGTCGAGTAGATCTCTTCCCATTGTTTGAATCTTCTTCATCATAACGGTCTCACCATCTTTACGGATAAAACCTTTGCATGGAACATTTCCTTCCACCTCCCTGAATGAATGCATCGTCTTGTAAAGTGTTTGCATTGCTACAAGACCTCACGACAGACATCCTAATCCTCCAGGTAGAGATTGAATTCATGATGCCAACATTCCACTCGTGAACACAGTCGTCAATGAAAGACACTAAGCATAGAGCAGCTTCTGAGATTGCTTTTGGGGTTGGTGAATCAGCCTGTTAGGAACACTAATTGTATTGCAAATGATGTTGTGAAATAGTCCAGTTCATGAATCTAGCGATTGCACCCCGTTGATGACATTTCGCAGTCTTTCTCACGAAAAATTCTAGAGGGAAACGCTTGTATTCGTAATTCCATCCTCAGCTGGACCAGTCTGCCTGTACACCTAGCTCGTTTCGCGTCCTACTCTATAAACCCTAAGTTGCAGGATCTGGCTCCTGAGGTGAATGATTTACAGGATAGACATTTATTCAAGGTTAACACGCTTAAGTTATGCTCGTCTCCAAACATTTAGATACATACACGCAGATTGAAAGAATGAATAGACCTAAAAATAAAAATAAAAGAGAAAACCCTACATTGCTCTATACTTTGTTTCTTAGATCCTTTCGTAAGATTTTGCCAGAGGGAGATTTGGGGACGGAGTCTACGAAGTAGACATTGTGGATTTTCTTGTAGAACACGACTTGCTTCGCAATGTAATCCTTCACTTCGTCTTCGGTGATTGTTGAGCTTGTTGCTCGCACAACGAAGGCCACTGGAACTTCTCCAGCAACATCGTCCTTGCGTCTGTGGACAATGGCATCACAAACATTCAGTCCATTCGACTTTCACAAAGATTTCAGATTAGCAAACAAAAAATTCCGTTGCATGAACAGCCACCCTTTCAAACTCCACTTCGACGTCAGTTACTTCCTGAATTTGTACGCTGCATTGAGTTTGTCATCGTTGAAATTTGACTTGTTCATGTGAAGTACTGCAGGATTGAAAGAATGAGAGGTCAGGTTTCGAAATTACGAGACTACGGCGGCATCTTGAATCTCTTTATGGGATAGTAAGAGTGCTTCTAATTCGGCAGGGGGTACTTGGAAACCCTTGAACTTGATAATTTCCTTCACTCTGTCAACAATGAACATCTCCTCGTCCTCGTCGATGAAAGCAACATCTCCGGTGTGTAGGAAACCGTCCTTGTCGATTGTGTTGGCTGTTGCCTCAGGGTTTTTCAAGTAACCTGCGGAAGACCAAATGTTTATTCTTCTAAAGCCTTTGAAAAGAATTTCAATGGAGCTGTTAAGATACTGTTTGAGAACGAGAAGCAAAACTTTCCTGATGCAGAGTTCGTGTGTGAGCGTATTTTGGCATCGCTTAAACCCACCGAAGCGGACAACGGTTACAATTTACCTTTCATGATTTGAGGACCTCGGATGCAAATTTCTCCAGGTTGGTTGTAGGGCAAGGACATCCCAGTCTCCGTGTCGACAATCTTCACCTCGGCGTTCCGGACTACTGTGCCGCATGACCCTGGCTTCACCGAGAATGGAGTCTTCGCGAATGCCAAGCACATTGCCAACACTGGACCAGCTTCTGTCATTCCATAGCCCTGTGAATCACGAACCAAACAATCACTCGTCAATTCTCTTTTTAAGGAAAAAAACCCAGTATTTTGAAGAAAATTAGACACTCGTCGCCATGGCCGCAAGAATTGGTGAATGGTTTAGTTACCTGGCCTAGAACAGCATTAGGCAGGCGAGCTCTGAAAGCGTCCTCGAGCTCCCTGCCTAGAGGAGCAGCACCCGACATCACCATCCTCATGCTAGAAAGGTCATAGTTCTCGACGATGGGGTTCTTCGCAATTGCAAGCACAATAGGCGGCACAAAAGGCCCCATCGTCACCTTGTGCCTTTGGATAAGGTCCAACAGCTTGGGGAGCTCGAACTTGGGCATGATCACCAGCGTAGCACCAACTCTCAACCCGCACAGAAGGATGGAATTCAAAGAGTAGATGTGAAACATTGGCAGCACGCACATCAAAGTATCCTCAACGGTGATGTTGAAGTTCGGTGCTTCGCCATCGACTTGCTGGGACACGCTGGAGACCAAGCTCTTGTGAGTGAGCATCACACCTTTCGGCAATCCGGTGGTTCCGGAGGAATATGGAAGACATACCAAGTCGTCAGGGTGTATTCTCACTTGAGGGCACTCATCCTCGCAGGCGTTCAGAAGAACCGAAATGTGCATGCAATTGGCAACATGTTGGTCGACAGTGATGATCTGGAAACATATCAAAACCACGACAATCAGAACCATAGTCGTTGACACGCTTTACGTTCACAGAAAACTTTGGAATATGCATGTACCTCGAGGCTAGTGTAGTGAAACTTCGTGTATGAAACATTTTGCGTGGCCATCAATCTGGCAGGTTAGCAGGGTGGTTGTTAAACGTCCGGCACCGATGAGCAGAAACGATGCAGACCGGTTAGGGATGTGTGGTACCTGGACGTTCAACCCCGCAAGCTTCTCAATGTAGCTGGACTGGGTAATCACAATCCCTGCGCCGGAAGCCTCGATTTGCTTCTCTAGTTCAGCCGCTGTGTAGAATGGGTTAGCCGTGGTGACAACAGCGCCCCTCTTTGCGGCGCCGAGGAACACGAGGACGAACTCTGCGCAGTTGGGGAGAAGCAAGGCGATCACGTCACCCTGCTTCACTCCGATTTTGTCTAATCCTGCGGCCACTCGACGAGAGGAGAGCTCTATCTCTCCGTATCTGTGCTCTCTTCCTGTGACCCCATCGATCAAGCAGACTTTGTCTGGCCACTGGGATGACTTCTCGAGGCAGTAGTCGGCCAAAGGCATATGGTTGGGGATATCAATGTCAGGCAGCTTGGACCTGTAGATGAAGTCGTGAACTTCGGCGTGCACTGGCTCCATGATCTGACTCTCGGCATCAGTCTCTAACAGGAACGGCTCCGGATTCTCACCAGTGGCCAGGCTTGCCTCTCGGACTTCCGATTGCAACGACATCTTCATTACCGACTCCCCTGTAGACTCAGACACGATGGGCTGCGGGAGCAAACTAGGAGACATCCTTACGAGCTCGAAGAAACCGAAATGACGCTATCGGACTCTACAATACACACACCTTCACCCAGAATCGGGCAATACTTCGCTACTCGCCCCTGCACCTCCCTAGCACGGCTACAGAACACACTCGTAACCTCCTGCAGGAGATAATCAGTAGCTCGGGAGAGGGCTAAGGTCACCGTGAAAAACAACAATGGCGGGTAGGCACACACAGCTGACAATGCGACGGATAGCTAGCAGCAAGGATGACCTCTGCTTTCTGGATGGGCCCCTAACTGCAGCACGAAGACGATGGTAGGTGGGCAATATAAGTGGAGAGTTGTTGACTGTAATTGCAGCTGTCCAGATGAGTCGCCTGCAGGCCGATCAATGCAGAGCAATGGTTGAGGAGTCGATGATGGGGTTATCCAGCGGCTGGGATGCTCTCCCGCTCATGCTTTATGCTGCTTCGTCTTTAATGACCGCATGTGTATCTTTTCCTCCTTGCCAGCAGAATATTGAATCCACTTATCGTCAATCCTGACGCTGATCAATGCTCCTCATCTGTCCTCTCCCTCTAAATCAATCCACACTCTGCTCTCCCAGCTACTTCCCTTTCATTCTGAATCTGTTCTCTATGCCCTTTCAATCTCTTTGCTTCAGTATTTCATCCCTTCGTCGGAATGAAAAATAATCAAAAACAACCCACGGGGTTAGCCATTCTTTCGTGCTGCGGTTAGAGATTGAACCAGATCAAAACCCGGACTAACCAACGCATTTTACGACTGCAAATGGACCAGCTTACCATGCTCAGATTTGGCACAATCCTGTTTTTTTTTTTTTTTTTTTTTTTGCTTGCTTCGCAGCTGAATTGGCATTTCTCATTGCATCGACTTGTCAACCTGGACTTCCACCACACGCTGCTGCAACTCAGCCACCTGGAGAGTCCACAGCTTCGTGTTGAACGGCAACCGGGAAGTTCAGCTTGCGTGACTCCGCTCCCACAGTTGAGCTTCATGATAAACCACGAGAGCTTTGCAGTCAACCAGCATTCACTCTCCTTGAGCTTGAGCCGGAGTACTTTGTCTCCAACAGCTTACAGATTACCTATCATGGAGGGCGCTGTTACAACCGTAGCTGAAAAACGCACCCAAACCGAGAGACGAAGAATGAAACCCATAAGGTGACAATATTGTAGAGTGTCTAGATTTGGGGGTGGATTCCACGCTGCTGGTTTGCATCACTTGGCATGGTTTATGTGCGCCACGCAGCTTCATTACTCGTAGTTTTTGCTAATTTTGAGTTCTGATATTTCCTTGGTGCATTTTTTGTCCTGGTCCTTCGTTTTGAGAAGCTGTAAACAGTGACATCGCCTGGGTGAAGCAGATTTCACCACCGTGGTGAGCACAGTACTTGGCCGTGTGCATTCCTCTTTATTCTATTCTATTCTACTTAATTATTTGTTTTTATATGGGTTTCTGTGAAAAAAAAAATTGTGACTTTATTGCCTTGACATTGATGTGCTTGATGTCGATTCACATCTTGCAGAGTCTGTGCCTTTCAAGCCTCTTTTCCCCCAGTCTCAAGTGCAGGACACTGTGACAATTTTGCTACGTATGGATGGGTGTGGAGAGTTTCCTTTTGTCAGTACTGGAATGAACAACCAAGCTTAACTGTTGGTGTTTGTTTTATAATATTCTTACTGGGTTGGGAAATAATGTTTTCTGCAAGTGTTGGCTTTAAAAACTTCAGAAAAACCAATTTCTACCATTGAAGGGTGCTAATGGTATGAACAATGGTGATAATAGTAATGACAACAACAACAACAAAAACAACAACGTTAATTCTACAATTTCTGTGTCTAACTAGATTGCGTCCCTTGCTTCTACTGTTACTAAGTGTGATGAAAGATGCAAACTAAAATTCACTTCTTTCCTTTTGCCTCTTCTCACAAACGTTGCAAAGTGAATTTGGTTTTTGGGTTTGCAATCAATAAATTCAATTTTATATTTTCTTTCAGAAACTGGAAGATGAACATTTGAATTTATTTTGTCAAGGTTGTACATGTATTTGTGGAAAAATTGAACTGCTCTTCTGCATGGTAGTATCAAATTGAAAAGGGCATGGCAATGGTGCATTTAAGCAATTTGCTTTGGTGGAATCATGGATATTTCAAGGTTTCATCTCCTTTGGTCAACATGCATAACAAGAGCATGATTTGGCAATGAGCCTATACCACCCACCCTTAGGGAAGAAGTAATACCATCTTTGTAACCCATTGAATTTGGTGACCTTAGCTCGTTCTTTACTAGAGTGTGTAAGAACATTTTCTTCCGAAAAGTGTGGGTTTAACAAAATATTCTCTAAAGACTTTTTCCATGGTGCAAGATTTTCTCATAACCTTCTATCCTTCTTTTTTTTCGTTTTTTTTTAATAAGGTTTATGATATCTTCGGAATTTCGAAGTGCAATCTAGTGTGGATATATCTTGGACAAATAAAATTTATTGATAATTGTGCAGATACAATGAAGCGTGGTGTATGAGATTTATTCTTGATTTATTTTTTGAAGTGAATAAATTTTGTACATGGTTAAAAAGAAGACTGTGATTGGTATTAAAAAAAAAAAAAAAAAAAAAGATGGCCAATTGTTGTCACTTAGTACAAACTTTAATGTGATGAGGTCAATATTTGATGGCCATTTAATTGAACTTTATTGAAAACAGTTTTTGTAATTTATTACACAACAACCTTCACTGTTTATTAGGAAGTACATCAAATATGGAAGCCTTGATGGATAGAATAATTTTCAAAATAAACAAAAATTTGAAGCTTGTTGGTTTCGTGAAAAACATCACTGTGACATCGCATAGGTAATAAGGTCATACGTTTAGAAACAAAATTTATCATTTTAAAAATCGTGAATCAGAATAAGGTTTTCATAATTTCTGTTTTCATTCAACAGATATTCAAACAAAGAGATTGTCTCTAAAAAGCTTTACTTACATTCATCAATTAGTCAACTTGAGAGTAATATCAATTTTATACAGAAAACTTCAAAATATTAAATTTTTTACTGCATTTTCTAAAAATTGAGATTTTTATGTTATTATGAAATTAAAATTTGCAACCGACACTGTTTATTAAACTTTTTTTTAAAAAAAATAAAGTCTTTCACACTGATGTTTTATGTAACAAACAATAATCCAAAATTCCAACACATAACCACTGGAGGCACAAAAAAAAAAAAAAAAAAAAAAAAAAAGAGAGAGAGAGAGAGAAGTAGAAGAGAAGAAGAAAGAGATAAAGATATCCTTTTTCATTGTTATAATCACAATTAATTATTCTTTACTTATTCCACTTCCAAAGCAATTAAAGCTAGTAACACTGAGTCAACATCCAGCAGTTCAGAAGGCAAGATGAAGGGCCAGATTGTTACATAGTTTTTGCATAATAAGTGCCTAATGTCCCAACTTGTGGCTTCCTTTGCTGAGATTGGGGTCGGAGGAGACGGCTGTTACAGTAAGTAATTTCAAAATCACGTTGCACAGTAGCGATGGTGATGATGTTTCTAGTTGGGAGGTGGGATCGATGCTTTCCCACGGATGCTAACATGAAACTGGTATGAGGGGTCCTATTGAAAAAGCTGCGTCACTCGGGTGTGGCTTTCAGTTGGTTTGCACGTACCTTGATATGCATGTCACACGGCACCGTTGCACGTTGGGTCCGGATCCTGCTTTTCAGACTGCGTTGTTGTTCCTGATTGTTTGATTGTAGTGCCGTGAGCTCAGATGTGTGTGCCGGAGAACGTGGTGAAACGAAACATGGGTTTACAGGAGTTTGAAGGTGTTGTGGATGTGATACAATTGCCGGGGTTCGACCTGGGCTGGAACCAGCATGGATTTTTGAAGGACGTCGTAAACCCTGTGTCGCGTTGGCACATGCGGGGCTCATGACCTCCAAGTAGTAGTTCGCTTATCACATCAGGTAATCTGACCTCCAACCATAGTTAGGATTTCTGTACAATGCAGATAATTGACATGAATGAAGGTATACCTCTTTCAAATGAGAATCTAAGTTCAAGCAAAGTTGTCCGGGTAGTTGGCACTCACCGTTTTGACATTGGTCTCGAGGATGGTGGGTCATCTAAACTTTGCCTTCCTGTCGTAATCGTTCGTTTCTCTAATCGTCACAAATTTACTGGGTGTGCCCACTTCAACCTGATCTTCTCGCAACGTGATTTAATCCTCCTATCGATGTGATCTCGAATAGCCTCTGCACCTGTTAAGAAGAAGAAGTCTGATTAGCTGCCACACCAGTACTCTGTGGACCCTGAATGATTGACCATACAGAGCTCTATCCAAGCTTGAATTTGATCCAGTTCATAGTAGTGGAATCCCAGCTCGGTTTGACATCAATGGAAGAAACACGCTGTCCCCTAAGGCTTCCACCGCAGGACTTCTTTTCCTCCAAACCTCCGCATGTGTCGATACTTTCGGAATTTTCTCAAAACTCTCCCAGTCAGACCAACAGTTTCTCCGAGGTTAAAGTGGAAGTTTTTCTCTGTCCAGCCACAAGGGACAGAGTCAGTTTCCGAGGAGCCACTCTCATCCAACACCTTCCAAGCATCAGTTCCATGTGAACAATGTCAGCCGTTGACAATCTATGGATGACATTGCATGACGGAGACCATGTTAGTGGCGGTTGTTAGCTGTAGACCTGATGTCCCTCGCTTTTGTCACGAACAGGACATCAAGCCTACTCGTATCTTCGTCCCACAGTAGCTACCAGCGTGTATTCGACTGATAGTCAAGCACTGAAAGTCCACTTCGTACGCTTCGCGTTACTAAAAAATTCTGGAAACCTGTATTTAGGTTAAAACTCTAGAAACACTTATTTAATAGTCATGGTAAATCAAAGGATGATTGATATCACCATGGAAATTGCAAGTGCCACGTCTCTGTGAATGATTATCAAACATTTACAGTACCTTTGAATTCACCATTCTGTTTTCTGTACAAAAGCA